GGCCAACCACCCGTCGGCAGCCAGCATTGCTCCCCAAGCAAAGAAAGAAAATGGGAGGGGCCTGTGAAGAGGGTGTGTGTCACCAAGTCAGCCTGGAACATCACAGGCCTCGGCCTCTGACCTTTCTGGAGGTCAAACGAGGCTGGTGGTAAGGGCAGGCTCGCCTGGGGACAATGACCAGGAGCCTCTTGTAGAGCGTTTGAGTGGGAGACAGGACAGCATCACTTTATAAATGACCAGCTGCCCTGGGGGCTGGAAGCGCACCTCCCTGCTAAGTCCACTCCCTGGAGGGTCTCTCAGGAGCATGTGGGATGGAGGGTTGAAGGGTATGTGTGCTCTGGGGGCTTGTCCCACTGCAGGGTCGACCTGCACACCTGCTGAAACTCATGCGCACGCGCATGCACACTCCCACCCCCATCCCAGGTACATTGCTGACTCCGTCTGCGGAATCTGCGGTTTCCTGCCAGGCTCCCCCTTGGACTCCATCCCTCGACCCCCCTGACAGCTGTTGCTCAGTCTCATACCTGGTTTTGAATGCAAGAGGGGCTCCGTGGTCAGGAGGGAATATTTTTATGGTAAAAAATGAACCTCGCTGCATTGGCTCCGGGAGGAATGGGTGCCGTCCCCGCAGGTTGCCAGGCAGACGGATGACAATTCTGCTTATGAAGCCGCTGCTTCCCCATTAATTAGGGGGGAGGGGGCCCTCCCCGCCGGTGCACCTCACCCTGGGCCAAAAGCTTGTCAACATCTCCCACAAGAATGAAAATGTAGATAACTTTCAGATTATTCAATGTCACCAAGGTAGGGAAAGGTCGCGCGCTGGGTGCCATTTATCTCGTGGTGGATTTAAAGAGCTTTTTTCTATTAAATTTCTTAAAATTAATGTTTTATGTTGCTCAGAGTAATTTGAACAATTATGGGCTTAAAGAATTGATCATCTCAGCCCCCGGGGTTTGGCCTCCAGGCTCATTCCTCTGAAAACCCCTTGATTTACCCTCTTGCTACTCAACCAGGCAAGTCCCGGGGTAGGGCCCCCCTCCTGTCGGTCGGGGCGGCGCCCAGACAAAGCTGCGGCTCAGCGTCCGACGCCGCGGGGGTGTCCCCTGGGCTCCGACGGGGGCCCTTGGCTGTCACCCGAGCGCAAACTCCGTATTTAGAAGAAAAAAGGCCCTTTCCCGGAGGAAAGAAGTGGAAACCCTCGTCTGCACCGTTCAGGCACTTACGTTTGACGATGTGACGCAGTTGCTGGGTTCAAAGGTTAACGAGCCCCGACGCCCCGGGCCGGCGCCCCTGCTC